CCTAGTCAGTATGTACAGGGTAGTTTCACAATTACTAACCAATATCTCTGTTAGAAATGACTTATTAGGCCGGGCAGCAGTGACACATGGGAGGCAGAGCCAGGCGGATCTCTGTGAGTTCGAGGCCAGCCTGGTCTACAGAGTGGGATCAAGGACAGGCACCAAAACTGCACAGAGAAACCCTGTCTCAAAAAAAAAACCACCCCAAAAATGACTTAACAGATGTCTTTGTACAGTTCTTTCAGTCTTCACCTTGAAGAAAAAAGTTAACTCAGTGCTTTGCAAAGTTTCCTCACAAACCGTTTTCTTAGTCATTCCTCTATTGTGGTTATGTTTATTTACTATACAGTCAGTTTAGGAACTGGGAAGATGCTCACTTGGTGAAGTACTTGCCACACAAGGATGAGGGGTTCTAAGCTTAGGTAATGTAACATTTAGGCATGGCTGTGAACATCTATACTCCCTGTGCTGTGGGAAGTGAGGGGAAGACAGAGACAAGTGGAATCCCTGTACTCATTGGTCAGTCATCCTGGCCAAATCAATGAGTTTCAGTCTCAGTGAGAAACCTTATAGCCAAATGCAGGGAGGAATGAGACGGGGAGACAACTGATGCCGATGGCTGTCTTTGCACCCATGTACCCATGCACACATGCACCCATGCACACATGCACCCATGCACCCATGCACACACATACACATGTAGGCATCCCCCAAAGTATAGTTAAGTTGTTAATGCTTCAGTCACCTCCATATTCTGTTTTTTTTAAATAGTTTTACTTGTTCCTTGCTGTCAACAGTGCACTGGTTCCAGAAATCTGTCAGTGCGTTTTCACTGAAATTCTGTGTAAGTTCATGATCTTTGTATCCTAAGGTATAGTATTGGCATATAAGGTACTGTGTTCCTCATTATACATTAATTCATCTATAAATTGCTTACTGTTTCCAATTCAATGTAAATGCTATGTGAATTATTGTGCTATATTACTTAGGGAATGGAGGCAAGAAGACATCTTGCACATATCCACTCCAGAGAGGTTTTTCAGAGTATTTTTTTTCTATCAGTGGTGGGTGGAATCTGTTAGTCCAGGACTAAAGATACAAAAGGGTAACTGTGTGTTTTGGCTACATGAAAATTGCTATTATTCCAAACACCCGAGTTATATAAAACTGTGTACTGGGGGAAGTGCCACTCCTCCCTCCTGCCTTCTACCCTGTCCTGATTTCCCATTTCGTCCCTGCTCTCCTCCTGTAGGGATAACTGCTGCATTCAGCTACGGACTCCTCTCTCCTGTACTTTGCAAAAGGAGAAATTACATGTTTTGTTATATAGTAAGGTAACAAGATAAACCATCCTTCTATTTTTTTCACATAACAGCATTTGTAGGAATGACACCGTGCCATTTCATAGAGATTTTCGTTACCCTTTTTCACATTTGTATCAGACACATTTGTATGAGCATACTGTCTTTTTATTTAGATAGTCACCTAGGTCTGTTTTAAATTGTGTTTAATATTTTGACATTTTTAATGCTCCTATGAATATCTCTGGGCAGATGGATTTTTGTATTTATGGAAATAGATCTTCATAGGCCCTGCAGTAGGATTATTGAGTCAAATTTAAGATCATACGTAGTTTTGTTAGACAGTTTAAAATTTTGTCCCAGAATCATTTTCCTAGTTTTCACTTCCACTAGCAATGCGTGAGAATGGCCGCTTCTCACAGTCCCATTAACACAATGTGCTGCTTTTACTTTAAACATTTTGCCTGTAGGTGACCTGACACTAAATGATAAGCACACAATTGTTTTTATATACACATGCCTAATGGCCATTAAAATGGAGCTTTTTAGCATTTGTGTACTATACTTTTACGTTATTTTGCATGAATTACTAATTCACATCTTTTCCTAATTTTTATACCAAATTTCTGGTCCATTGTCTTTCAGTTTTAGATATCTGTAGATAATTAGCACATTCCAGTTGTCTCTGAAATTTTTCCAGCTGCCTTTTGATTTAATTGTGACTTTCATACTTTGAAATACTTTCATTTTTATGTGACCAAATTACTTCTTTCTTTCTTTGCCTCTAGAATTTGAGTGATATTTAGAACATCCTTTCCTCTGGTGAAGTTAAAGAAGAGCTGCCATATTTTCTTCAAGAAGCTGTGTGGTTTAAGTTCTTTTAAAATTACTTTTATGTTTATGAGTGTTTTACCTGAATGTATGTATGTGCATCACGTGTTTGACTGGTGCCCTTGCAAGCCAGAAGAGGATGTTGGAGTCTTTGGAACTGGAGTTATACAGGCAGTTGTAAACATCCATGTAGGTGCCAGGAACTGAACTCATTCCTCCAGATGAGCAGCACATACTCTTAACTGTTGCTAAGACGGTTCTCTAGTCCTTGGTTTAACTTTTTGCTTAGACCGTTAACCTATGTTATTATGTATGTAAATGGCACATTTTATAGATCTATTTTAGAGTTTATTCTAATTGTCTCATACTCCCCTTTGCTCCAGCGATGTTGCAGGCCACCTTTATTAAGCACTAATTTCCACTGGTGTTGACTTGTATTTCTAGGTTGTTTAGGCTAATCCATTGGGATGTCTATTCTTGTAGTTTTTTTTTTTATTTCACTTTATGTGTTTGGGTATTTTGCCTGCATGCACATCTGTGCACCTGTGCATATCTGGTTCCCATGGATGTCATAAAGGGTCTTGTATCCCCTGAAACTAAAGTCACAGATGGTTGTGAGCTACCATGTGGATGCTGGGAATCAAACCTGGGTCTGAAAGAGCAGTCAATTCTTACTTGACTGCTGAACCATATCTCCAGCTCTTATTTCTTTTTTTTAAAGATTTATTTATTTACTTAATGTACACTGGTGTTTTGCTGGTATATATTTTGTGTGAGGGTGTTGGATCCCCTAGAACTGGAGTTACAGACAGTTGTGAGCTGCCTTGTGGGTGCTGGGAATTGAACCCGGGTCCTCTGGAAGAGCAGCCAGTGCTCCAAGTTTTTTAATTCAATTAAATGTTTGCAGATATTTTTGCAATTGAATTAAATGTCTATATCAGGGAAAACAGACATAATTTTGATACGAGGCTTGTCAGGGAAAATAAAATCACAGCAGCAGCATTGCTTTGGCACTCTTAAAATGGGACCTAGAACCGTTGTTAAACCAGACTTCAGGCACTATTAATACTTTGAACTATACTGTCTGAATATTTACATATTCACTCAAGAACAGGCTGACCTTAGCTACTAGCATGAACTTCAACTTTTAAAACAAATTTCACTAGTGTTTGTAACAGTTTGTGATATCATCACCCTTGCTTCCTGAGTCTGCCCAGTCCCTTTCCTACAAGCAAGTTTGACTTTTACTTCAGACAAGTGAATCACAGTTCTTGACAAAAGGGGTGCAGTTAAATTCTCTTGCCCCTTACACTGTAAAAGGAGCCCAATGTTTAGAACCTTGGAACATAGTTTTCAGGATTACTTGAATGTTGTCTCCTGGGATTGCAATCCTAAGAAGTCTCAAGTTGATGTAATTCTTCTTTGCCTTTGACCAGGGTGAATTTTACCTCAGTTGGCAAGTTATTCTATCCAAGGACAGTGACTGAGTGGCAAGTTATTCTATCCAAGGACAGTGACTGAGTGGCAAGTTATTCTATCCAAGGACAGTGACTGAGTGGCAAGTTATTCTGTCCAAGGACAGTGTCTGAATGTGTACAGGTTCATAGTAAAGTGCCCTAGACTAGGTATGTGATAAGAAACAGAATTTTTGTTTTTTGATGGTCTTAATGGTTTGGCTTGTAATTTTACTCATTTGTATGATATTGCATTGTTTTATATAATATCTATTTTTATCATTCTATGTTCTGGCACTTAGTGCCATCTAGTTCATTTTGCCATTTTTTTATGGTAGAGAGAAAGGTTATGAACACTCTGATTTTGTTTCTTATATATTACAAGAGTCTTATTTCCTGCTTTTGTTTCTTTTATCACCATTACCAAAGTTCCCGGCAATGCTTCTCCCATCTCTCAGCTTTTATTCTTCCCCATAAGCTCTATGGTTCAAACACTGACGTTTCAGATCATTCACATCTGTTACTTAATGCCATTCATTTAGTTGGTAACATATATTGATCACACATCTGAATGGGAGTCATTGTGGTATTTCCACAACTGTTTCTAGCTTACTTTTATCAGATACAACTATGTTTTTTCACCCTCAATCCTCAACTATGGCACTCTTTCCAGACCCAAGGAATCACTGTTCTGTTTTCAGTTTGACTGCTTTTTGATTTTGAAATATGGGGGAAAACATTAAGGATTTAAATTGGACTTTTTAATGGAGTGTCCCTTCTCTAAATGGTAGCTGCTTCCTTTAACATTGGGACATATATATATTTTTTTTATTTTAGGCTTATTTCAGACCTAATTTTTCTGTCTGAGGTTTTATGTCAAGTTCAAGACCCTAATTATATTTCTTCATTTCTATCTCTTGCAAGTTTTTGTCCGTCTGCTTCACTACACAAAATGTGTGGTAATGAAGTTGGACTGGCTGCAATTTCAATCTTTTTCTCTTTAATAATTGTCATTTTGATGTTTTGTTATTTTCTGTTTCCAAGATAATGATGATTATATCAATATTATGTATATTTAAAATTTCATTCATAATGCTTTGTATCTTTTGAGGGGAAATACGGGGTATCAGGTAGATAGATAACTAACTTTATCTTCTATTAACCATTTATTTCTAATGCTAGTCTTTCATGTACACACATACACGTTTGTATACACACATATTTGTACACTCATAACAATCAGTTTCTAATCTATGCCTACAGTAGAGGTCTCTAGATATGGTTATCAGTCTCATAAAAATTATTCTGTGACTAATATATTTTCTACATTGCTCACATTCATTTTAAAAAAGAGTCTGAGGGTGTCTTCTCAGGACTTCTAAGTATCTCTCATCCTGATGCAGGTTTATTTATGATGATGGATGAAAGGGACCCATCTACGCTGTTGGACCTTGCTATACAGAGTCTACTGAGCAATGAACCTGTTGCAATTCATTCCCTCGGGGAGATCCCCAAAGAGCTTTTTGTTCCATTGTTCTCTGCTGCCTTCATGGGAGGATATAGGAAGACACTGACAGAAATGGTGAAGGTTTGGCCCTTTGCCTGTCTCCACATTGGAACATTGAGTGTACAGGAACCTCAACGGGAACTCCTAAAAGCCATGGTTGAGAGTCTTCAGTTCCTACCTGTCCAGAACTCGGCTGCTAGGTAAGACCTTGTATAGTAAAGACATGGTAAGACAGAGTAGATTATTTCACAGCCTGCTACTCTTCCAAAGGTAGTAACTAGTGAATGTTGAAGATTTATGTGTGAAGCAGTTGGTCCAAAACTTGGTAACACACTAAAGGCCGATATATTCAATGTTCATTATGAAATTTATGTTATTGAGGGTATCATTGATGGATTTACATAACAGGTATTATTACACAGAAGAAAGACACCAACTTTAAGATTGGAGAGGATTTAAGGAGAATAAAAGATGGGGAAACTAATTAAAGGATGTTGAATTTTCATGATATAGAACTTGTTAGTGTTTGGCATAAAGAATACAGACCAAGTCCCTACATGCCATTGTTGACCCTGTGGGTTTACATTAAAATTTGCATATCTCTTAGATGTTTTATCTCCTCTTCCCCCTACAGGAGCCCTAAACTGAGGATCCTGGATGTAAGGCAGGGTGTTGACTGCAGGACAACATGCCCTGAATTTGGAATCAGATCGCCTACTTGTTTTCATGGCTGTACTCACTCTGTACGCTCTATTCTGAAGTTAGAAAGCCAGTGCAGTGTTGTCAATTCAAAGCCTAAGAGTCAATCCTCAAGGCAGTCTATGGAAATACTAGTGGACCTATCCCTCGATGGCACCTTGAGAGAAAGGGAATTTTTTGCTTTGCTTCTGAATAAAGTTGAACAGAGTTCAGGGTCATTACACCTCTGCTGTCGAGATTTGCAAATTGATAAATTTTCTTATGCCAGAAACACTCTGAAGTTTTTAGATCTGACATGCATTCATAACCTGGCAGTTGATCAGGCTTCACTGAGTGAAGTTACCACCATTTTGGCTCACATGATCTATCTGGACAGCCTTAGTCTGTCTAAAATCACTTTTAGGTCTTTGCATGGGAAAGTCTTCCAAATGTTTCTCAACTGTCTTAGGCAGATGAACTGCCTGAAAGAGTTCAACTTGTCTTCCGTCAGCCTCACAGATCATCTGGCCAGCCTACTCAGGTGAGGGCTTGGGATTTGTACCTGGGTTCCTGAACTGCCAGCCTGTTAAGATAGGGGAGAAATCATCCCTGGGAATTCCTGAGATCCTTAAAACCCTTTATGCCTTTTATCTCTGCCCTCCAGAGAATTTAAAAGTAGCCATACAAAAAAAGTCTCTCTCATAGTCTGAGGAGAAAAACAGGATAAAAAAAACCTTAGTCAGCTGAGCAAGTGCAGCCACTGTGCTCATTCCGGAAGTATAAAATTGAAAAGAACAATGCAGTCCTCCTCTGGTCATCGAGAGATGAAGAGGAGGAATTGAGAGAAAGACTTCAGGTTGGGCACAGGTGCACATAGCCATCTACCCATAGACAGTAATGTCAGAGCATTAGGAAAATCTCCAAGGTTCAGGCCGTGACTGTAGAGGCTGTCACTTGTGGACTGGCCACAGGGAGCTTCCAATTGGTTGCTCCTCTGCCTTTGATTATATTGTAATTACTAAGTAGAAAATATTTTCCACTAAATCTTTGGCACAAATCTCTATATTAATATACTGTGAAAATTCTCAAGGATATAAATTCTATCTGAAAATATAAAAGTAACTTTTCTGGGTCACAAATCTATTGAGTGAATTCAAGCCCATATTGTTAGCTGCTGCAATGTATGTGTGCAAAACAGCTTATTCTAGATTCTTCGGACTATTTTCCCTCATCTGAGAGTCATTCTATCTTTGTTTTCTCTCCACAGAGCCTTACCACCTGATTTGGACTTCTTGTATCTGCCATTCTGTGAAATTTCTTACAGAGATCTCAAATTTCTGTCCCAGAGCTCTCAGGCCACCCACCTCAAGCTGTTGAATCTTAGTAACAATGCAATGTTTTGGGATGATAGTGGGCCTTTTCAGATTCTTTTGCAGAAACTCTCAGACACCTTGCAGCATTTGGCTATAAATCATTGCCATTTAACAGATGCTACACTCTCTGCTATCCTTCCAGCCCTAAGTAAGTGTTCCCATCTCCGTGTGATTAGCTTTGTCTCTAACCCCATTTCGATGCCTATGCTTATGAGAATCCTTCATTACTTAACACCTTTGATGGAGTTGAAATACGTGATTTACCCTATCCCTGTACATTGTTATGAACAATGGCGTTTTCATGGTAGCTTAGACCGACAGAAGCTTGCTGATGTCCAAGCACAACTGAAGGCAATGCTACAGGCAGCAAAGCGGAGTGACATGAACTGGATCACTTATTCTCAGTAAAGTCAACTAAGTTTCTACCATAATATGTGACCTGTTAAACATTCAATGTTCACTTCTGGAGCTCCTGGAATCATGTGTAAGATCCTTATGTTACAGAAAACTATAGTTAGGAAATACGGACATGTAACTAATAGCTGTGAAGCAGTAACTCCAAGACAAAAATAGACAACTTTGAGAGTGCCTGTGTCTCTTTTTGTTGTTCTTGATCTTACTTCATCTTCCTGACTTAAGTGCTGGGTATATGATATGCCATGACTACATCATGGTACACTGTATGTTTCATTCACTTGTGGATAGCTAACACAAACACCATTGCAACTTTTCCTGGATTTGTTTGGAGAGGGAGAGGTGTCCTTGAAGACAAAGCTTTTGCCCTCCCACCAAGTTACTTTAGATTTCTCATATTTAAGACTTCCTTGGGCAATTTATGAGAAGCCATCTGGAATTAACAGTGAGGAAAATACTTTATACCCATAACACATTGATACATTCAGCTACATTGTTACCTCCTTTCCTAGGTTTCAGACTACTGAGGCAGTTTTTCTTTGTTTCATATATCAAATATCTATTTGGGGTATTATTCTACATACTAAAAATTTAAATGCAGATAAGATAAATTTCCTATATGAAACCATTCAGAATCCAAATGTGTATATATTTTATTTGTCCTTACAAATCACTACTTAGTTACCCTTTTGGACCCCCAATTTTGCTTTTCTTGTTCTTGTTATACACTTTGTTCAATACAAAGTAAACATCACATTGTTAGATATCTATTCAACAGTCCATGGCTTAACTATTACCTCCTTAAAGAGTTTGTTGTCTCATGTCCATTAGTCTGCTTGTTAACATGCAATATACTGTGGTGGTATAAATAAAGTTGCCTGGGGTCAGAGCTATTAGAGCCATAGCAAGTGCATGGCAGTGGTGGTGTACGCCTTTAAGGATCTGGAGGGCAGTACATACAGGCAGTGACGAGGCAGTCACATGATTGGGTTTACAACCAATCAGAAGCCAGAACAAGGAGACTAGAGAGACAGACACACAGGAAGTAGGGCTCTCTTTCGGAGAGCTCTCTTGGCTGAGGAGGATCCCTGAATCAGGAAGGGTGAGGCTCTTGGCTCTGACCTCTTGACTTTCTTCTCTGAATCAGCTCTGTGTTCTTGTCCGATAAAACCGTTGGTTACATCTACACTGAATTACATCTACATTTGGCGCCCAACGTGACAAGAATCCGTTAAAAACCGTTTAACTGCTGAGCTGGATTCACACCTCAGACACTAGGTGGCTGTTTTGAAATTCCCTCGGATTTGTACTGTTCAACGAGGACTTGGTTATCCAATATTTTAAAGGAAACTATTTAAAAGAGAAATTTTTTTCCACATTTAAAAAAAAAAAAGAATGGGTTTTCTGTGTTCATTGGAAGAAAATTGGGCTTTGTTTGCAATTTTAGACAGTCTAACAATGGAACAGCTATATGAGAAGATTAATGTTGATAGAATTATGCATTTTATTACTATATTTATTCTTATTTTACTATTTAAGAAGATAGTCAATTTAAGTGCCAGGGTGACAGCTTTAGAAAAACTTGATACACCTGTAAAAACTCAGACAGAAGAAACTAACAGTGAAGTTGCTTCAAGATTGGATCATAGGGTTACAGAAAGAAAGCCTGTTTTCACACAGTCACCCTTAGTTTGTCCAGTAACCGTACAGCAGTTGCCTGATCAAATGACTACACAAAATATTTGGGCTCCAATCGAAATGTTGGATTTACGAAGGTTTAAGGAGGCAATAGTATCTTATGGCATGCATTCCCCATATGTAAAGCAAATGTTAAACTCTTGGTCAACATATAATAGGATTGTACCACAGGATTGGCGGGAGCTGGCACAAGCTGTTCTGGAACCCAGTCAAAGGCTTCAGTGGCTAACTTGGTTCAAGGATGAAGCTAAAAACATAGAAAAACAGTGGAGGGATAAAGGAATACAAGTCTGCCAGGATCAGCTTATTGGAGAAGGTCAATATGCTTCAGCACCAGCACAATGTTTATATGATGTCCAAATCCTAATTTTATGTCGAACAGCAGCCTTGAATGCATGGGACAGAGTTGAGGAACCAGGAAAAAAAACTGAGTCATTTACAAAGGTTGTACAAGGCCCAAAAGAATCTTTCACAGATTTTTTACAAAGACTGGCTTCAGCAGTAAAGAGAATGGTCCCAGATTCAGAAGCTGGTAAGATAATAATTGAAACTTTGGCCTGTGAGAATGCGAATGCAGCATGCAAAACAATAATCAGGCCGTTAAAGGCAAGATCTGCACCTTTGGAAGATTGGATTAGAGACACAGTTAATGTTGAAGCTCATGAGCATGATGATACATGGGTAGGAGAAGCAATTTCAAAAGGTTTGAGGAATGTTAGATGTTTTGGATGTGGAAAGCAAGGACATTTGAGAAGGGACTGTAAACAGGTCATTCCTAGAAACAATGTTTCCTCAAGGAACAATGGCAACAGAAGGCCCCTTCCTTCTGGAGTATGCAGAAGGTGTGGTAAGGGAAAACACTGGACCAACGAATGTAGATCAACAAGGGACAGACAGGGTAATCCTTTGCCTCAGTCTTCGGGAAACTCCCAGAGGGGCCTCAGGCCCCAATAGCAAATCCAGTTCAAACCTTTCCTGCAGTCGTAGAGGAAACCCCTACTCAGAGCAATTAAATAGCCAAATGCCTATTGGAATAAGTCATGCTGGTCAGGATGATGAAACAGAGAGAATAGAAAATTCAGGAGAAAACATAAAGAAAATTTTTTGGCAAACTTCTATTAATGAACAAAGACCAAAATTATCGATAAAAATAAATGGTGTTTTGTTGTCTGGTCTGGTAGACACAGGTGCGGACGTTACCATAATTGCACCAGAATTTTGGCATCCAACTTGGCCTCTTCAGGAGGTAAACGTTCAACTGTTAGGTATTGGGACATTATCTCAGGTGAAACAGAGTGCAAGATGGCTCAAATGTATAGGTCCAGAAGGAACAGAGAGGAAAATTGAAACCATATGTAGCTAACATAGCTATGAACCTGTGGGGTCGAGATTTGTTGCAACAATGGAATACTCAGATTAACATCCCTCCAATCTCAGAAACAAATCATAAACTAGCACATGTTTCTGAGAGAAATATTAGAAGGCTATATTCTGAATGGTCACCAACCACCCATGTTATACAAGAACAGGGCACAACAACCGATGATCTTCCAAAAACATCAACAGCTCTACCTTTAAAATGGTTGACAGACAAGCCTGTATGGGTCCAGCAATGGCCTTTAACAACAGAGAAACTTCAGGCTTTAGAAGAGCTGGTAGAAGAACAGTTAAATGCTCAGCATATTGAGGAATCAACCAGCCCTTGGAATTCTCCTGTATTTGTTATTAAAAAGAAATCTGGTAAATGGAGAATGGTAACAGACCTTAGAGCAATTAACAAAGTAATTCAGCCAATGGGCTCTCTACAATCTGGAATTCCTTTGCCTACTCTGTTACCAAAAGGATGGCCTCTCATAGTTATTGATTTAAAAGACTGTTTCTTTTCAATACCCTTACAAGAAAAAGACAGAGAAAGATTTGCTTTCACAGTGCCTACTTATAATAATTCTCAACCGGTTAAAAGATTTCAATGGAGGGTCCTCCCACAGGGAATGTTGAATAGCCCAACTCTGTGCCAATATTTTGTACAACAGCCATTGGCAGTGATACATAAAAAATTTCCTAAATCTATAATTTATCATTATATGGATGATATTTTACTAGCTTACTCAAATGCAGATACTTTAGAAAGAATGTTTGAAGAAGTAAAGAAAATTTTGCCTTGCTGGGGATTACAAATTGCTCCTGAAAAGATACAAAGAGGAGATTCTATTAATTATTTAGGATATAAAATAGAGCTACAAAAAATTAGACCCCAAAAGGTGCAAATTAGGAGAGATAGACTACAGACTCTTAATGACTTTCAAAGATTATTTGGAGATATTTCTCATCTAAGAACTATTGTTGGGGTAAAAAATGATGAACTGCATAATTTGTTCAAAACCTTAGAAGGTGACAAGGACTTAAATAGTTCAAGAGAATTATCACCTGAAGCTGAGAAAGAATTGGCCTTGGTAGAAAAGAAAGTACATGAAGGGCACGTGGATCGTATTGATCCAAAGCTGGATTGCATTTTGGTTATTTTACCTTCTAGGCATTCTCCTACAGGAATATTAATGCAGAGGGAAGATATTATATTAGAATGGATATTTTTACCAAATAAACCAAATAAAAAATTAAAAACTTATGTGGAAAAAATCTCTGACTTGATTTGGAAAGGAAAATTGAGACTTCGTCAATTAGCAGGAATAGACCCAGCAGAAATTGTCGTACCTTTAACTAAGGAGGATATTGAAAAATTATGGACAGAAAGTGAACCTTGGCAAAGGGCTTGCAGTAATTTTTTGGGAGAAATTAACAGCAAATATCCCAAAAGCGATAGAATTGATCTTATAAAGAGAGCTGATTGAATCTTGCCTCGAATTGTACGGGAAAAACCCATATCTGGAGTTCGTACATTTTATACAGATGCCAACAAACAAGGAAAGGCAGGTTACAAATCAGAAAATTTAAGTAAAGTGGTTCAAAGTCCTTATAATTCAGTTCAAAAATCAGAATTGTATGCTATTCTGTTGGTATTAATGGATTTTTCAGAACCTCTCAACATAGTAACTGACTCTCAGTATGCTGAAAGAGTAGTATTACATATCGAGACTGCAGAAATTATCCCTGATGCTTCAGAATTAACTTCACTATTTATTCAATTACAAGATACAATCAGGAAAAGGAGTCATCCTTTATATATAACTCACATTCGATCCCATACTGGTCTGCCAGGCCCTCTAGCACAAGGCAATGATGAGATTGATAAATTATTGATAGGAAATGTGCTGGAGGCCTCAGAATTTCATAAAAAA